AATTCATCCATCAGCTCACCTGGTGGTGGACATTAGGGTTGTTTCCAGTTTGGAGCTATTACAAATAAAACAGCTATAAACACTCATGTAATTTTCATGTCAGACCATAAGGTTTTTGCTTCTCTGGGATAAATGCCCAAGAGTGTGAATGCCAAGTCATAGGGTAAGTGAATATTCAGTCTTATAAGAAGCTGCCAAACTGTTTTTTAGAGTGCTGGACCATTTTGCATGTCCTCCAGTAATGTGTGGGAGATCCAGGTTCTCAGCATCTTTGTTAACACTTAGTACTGTTTGTATTTTGTTAATTTTAACCTCTCATAGATGGGAGGTGATTTCCCCGTGGTCCTATCTAGTTGCAAATCCCTAATGGTAATGACATTGGGCATCTTTTCCTGAGCTTGTCTGCTGTCTGTAGTTCCTCTTTGTAAAGTGCAGCTCATCCTTTCCCCGTCTGTCCTCATTCTTTGTTTGCTTACTGTTTACTTTTTCTTTAAATCCTCACCTGAGGATATGTCTACTGATTTTAGGATAGAGGGAGAGGGGGAGAGACAGACAGACAGACAGACAGACAGAAACATCGATATGTTGCCTCCCCTACATGCCCAGACCAGGGACTGAACCTACAACCTTTAATGTAAGGGAGGACATTCCAACCAACTGAGCAATCCTGCCAGGGCTCTTACTGCTTACTTTTGAGAGTGTCCATGTTATCATATATCCTGAATACCTACTTTTCAAATAGTTGAATAATCAGGGTACAAGTTTTATGTCGGGTATGTGATGCACAAATATTTTCCCCCAAAGTTTTAAATCTTGACAAAGTGCAATTTATTGATGTTTTCCATTGTGGACTGTGTTTCTGATGTCATGTCTCTAGGCCACTCATATTTTCTCCATTGTTTTTTTCTAGAAGACCTATGGTTTTAGGTTTTACATTTAGATCCATTTTTAGTTAAATTTTATACAAAATGTTAGATATAGTTATAGATCCTTTTTCCCCTTAGCATATGAATGCCTAATTATTCTATTACTATTTACTAACTCGATTTCCTCCCTTTAATTGCTTCTAGGTCCTTGTCACAAATCCCATGACCACATTTGTGTGGGTCTATTTCTGGTCTGAATTCTGTTCTACTGATCTGTGTCTATTCATTGGTCATTACTGCACCATCCTTGTTACTGTGGCTGTATAGTAACACTTAAAATTGAGTAGCAAGTCTTCCAACATTTTTTTCTTTTCAAACCTGTTTTAGCTTTGTAGTTTTCTTTGCCTTTCTATAACATTTTTATTTAATTTCTTGGGTGACATAGGGTCACAAAGCCATACAGGTTTCACGTAGACAACTCCATAAAACATCATCTGCACACTGCATCATGCGCCCACCTTCCCAAGCAGAGTCTCCTTCCATCCCGATTTCCCCCAGGGCCTCCCTCTACCTACTCCCTAAACAGAACCGATTTACTTGGCATGGCAAATGTACCCCAGCCATATCGGAACACTGACAGGTGCGAGTCGGCACACAGGAGCCAAACCCATGGATCGGCTTTCTCATGGGGACCAGGTCTGCATCATACCTAGGCTGCTTTGAGGCTTGCTCTTGCTAAAACTCCCTCACCCTGAGTTGAAGCAGCAAATGTTTACTGCATATCTTTAAAGTAACTTCCTAAAGTCTTTGCTAATTCTCCCAAGGACAGAGTATAACCAGACCAATCACTCATCATTCCCTTGCATTTGAAACATTTTTTCCTGGTTAATCTGTAAGAAGTATTCAGTAACTTACTTTCCTCTGTTATCTGTAAAAAGTAATCACCTAAAGCAAACCTGAACATAATGAATGAGAATCTCCTTTGATGAATGCTATTAGAAAGCAATGAAAGCCTGTCCAGGCAAGGGTCAAAGCACTCTCTCACTCAGAGAGTGGCCATGCCGTCCCTTTTTCTCCACAGGACTTCTGCAGTCCATGTGAATCTGTGCATTGCAGTTACAACACTGCTGGCCGGAGTCTGCATCACCCCCCTACCCTCCTTTCTCCCTGAATTAGGTTGTCTGTATCTTCAAAAATTTCTACTGGGATCTTGATTGCAATTGTGTTAAAACTGGAGATCAATTTAGGGAAAACTGACATCTTAATATTTATACTGTGTCTTCCAAATCACGATGTGAATGTCTCTGCATTTATTTAGTTTGTCTTTGATTTCTTTCATTCATTATTTATAATTTCCTCCTATACATCTGATGCAGACACCAGCCCGCAGTGTCCGAGGCATCATGGATGAGACATGAGACATTCACATGGACTACCCAGTCCTGTGTGGAGGAAAAGGGATGGCACGGCTACTCTCTCAAGGGGAGGGTGCCTTGGAGCAGCCTGGCCACTCTCTCAAAGGAGAGTGTCCCGATCCTTCCTTCACAGGGTTTTTATTGGCTTTTAACTTGCACAGGAATACAGGTAAAGTTCATTAATCATTGTCAGGCAGTAAGGATTAAAAAATAGATAACATACAAAGAACTCTGAGGACCTATTCTGGGTCAGGGTCTGTTAGCTAAAGGGCTACAAAACTCTGGGAAGCAACCCATTTCCTGCCCAGACCTTTATCATTTAATTAATAGCATTCTTATCAAAGCAGGTTTCACAGGAGTTTACGTATTCTTTCTCAGGCCTGATCGCCAGAGGAACCTGCCCTTTCCAGCACAGGGCTGCACCACCCTGTGTCATTAAGTCAGGCAGGGAAAGTAAGGCAGCCAAGAGATAGGAGGCTTCTTGCAGGCAGAATGAGGACTCAGGCTATGTATGTCAAAGCGGAGGGGCAAGGGTCCATCACCCCCTTTCTCTATAGCCCCCCAAGTCCTTCCCTCGGGCCTCCACATGATCATGCCTGTCGTAGATTGTTCCCGCCTTGGGAAATCTTACCTGTCATTGGCTAACTGATCAAGCATTGGGGGCCAGGCAAGGAGCAGAAGCAGCACTCCTGCCAGGGAGATAAGGTTGTCTCCTTAGTGGCTCCTGGTCCGGAGGTCTCTCACTCAGCCTTAGCCATGGGGGGTTACAGCTCCTGAAACCAGGCAGGGCGGTTCCCAACATACATCATGCACATGTTTTATTAGACTCACCTCTAAACATTTCAAAGGAGGGGTAAATGGTGCTGGTTGTTAAGTTTCATTCCCCAGTGTTAATGCTGGTGCACAGAAACACGTTTTTTTGTGTGTGTTGACTTTGATCCTACAATCTTTCCAACTTCAATGGTTAGTTCCAGGAGGTTTTTTGGTTTGGTTTGTCTTTTTTGTTGTTAGGCTCAGGGAGATGGCTTCAGCTCCCTGGTACTTTCTTGTGTCCACATGGGGCTCATCAGCAAGGATTGCACACAGCTAACCTTCACCGTCACCTTGGCAAAACACTCCAATGCTCCTGGGACAGGAGAGCCTGGGAGGCTTAGGAAGAGCTGCTATAACACTGTTCTCACTGCTTCTCTGTCTTTCAGGCACGCTGTCCTAAGAACGCTGCTCCTTGCCATCTCCTGGGGGGATGAGGTCTGAGGCTCCTCCCTCACCCCTGCGGAGCTGAGCTTCAGTCTATAAAACTGCTCAGATGTAGCCTGCCCTTCCCTACTGAGCAACACGACATCCTGCCACCCTTGCTGCTGTCACCTGGGCCCCTCTGCTTGAGTGTCACCCTGTGCAAGGGACACAGGCAACTGGCACCTCTGGCCAGTTGTACTTTCATTGCCCAGGTGAGCAATAAACCGTCTAAATCTAAAAAGGGCTTGTTGTCTTGTGACTGCTGATCTATCAGTCTTGCCTCTGGTTTGATCACAGCTCTTGTGAGATTTCTGTGTAAACAATTTAATTACACCAACACCAGTTCCTCACATATTACCCTTTATGATATTGCTTCATAGTCAGGTATATTGCTTATTAAGGACTTTCTGTTTTAGTCAGGAATTCCTAGCCTGTAGGTTGAGAATTATGTCTGATGTGTCAACCTTATGAATTTAGGAAACGGGAATGTAGTTCTTCCAGGTCTGCATTTCCAACAGCTGTGCAGTGTAAGTGGGAGGTGAGTCTCCACAGGTGGGACACCTGTCAGGGGCATGGGTGGGAGGAGACATTATGGAAACCTGCTGACACAAAGAGCAGCCCTCACAGACACCTGCCAAATGAAGGGGGAGGGCTGACACACATGCGTGTATCCCCCACTCGTGGTGAAGGATTGCATATACTGTCAAAGAGAAGAGGAAGGAGCTGGTCCATGAACCATGAGCTTTTACAGGGTCTAAAGGCTCTGCTTTATCTCTCTCACCCCTTCCCAGGCTGTTCACTGTAACATGGGAGGAAGCCAGCAGAGAACAGAGGGTCTATCTAATAATAGCCCACGTGTTATCTCGTCCCAATAACAGTGATGGTGACACAAAATCATAGTGAGAAACACGGGTGGAGGCTTTCTTTGGACAAGGAGCTCTTCTCTGTTTTATGATCCCAGGGGTCTATCCTATGTCAATCTGTTCCCTTTTCTTTCTCCCTAGCAGGGTTTTTATGTTCCTTGCTCTTCTAGATCACTCTGTGACTTCATAATTTCCTCTAAATAACTGAAGAATTGTAGACAGTGTGGGTCTGGAGGTGGATTGTGGGTAGGACTAGAGGGACTTTGAAACATCCAGGGGGGAGAAGAATGGGATGTTGAGGAGGAGCCGGCGTTTGGTGGGTGATGTGCCAAGGAGGCTTTTCCTGCTGGGTTTCTCCCTCAGCAGTGTTCTTGGGAAGACATGTCATCACTTGGAAAGGTGTCAAGGTGGTATTTACCCTGAGGTTTCATATCTGGGAAGGTGGCAGCTGTTGGAACTGGCTCAGGAACATTTCATTAAATTTTTCACGTGTTTTTTCTTTGCATGTAACTGTGACTCTTCATGCCCCTCCCATTCTGGCAGCCCTGCCCTTCTGTTGTGATGCATGTGAGCACATGAGGTATATAAGTCACAGGGCACAGGTGCTGCTGCTGCTCTGTCATCAACTACTGTGGATGGAACATAATCCAGACCCATGGTGCCCAGGAGCTGCGGTAAGAGGGCTCCAGCCCCAAGTCTAGCTGATGTGTTATCACAGCCTAATGTACCTCTGAGCCTCAAACTGAATTCTCTTTCCTTTTTTTTTAAGATTTTATTTATTTATTTTTAGAGACAGTAAGGGGAGGAGAAAGAGAGGGAGAGAAACATCACTGTATGAATTGCCTCTCACACGCCCCCTACTGGGGACCTGGCCCACAACCCAGACATGTGCCCTGACTGGGGATCGAACTGGTGACCTTTCTGTTCACAGGTTGGTGCTCAGTCCACAGAGCCACACCAGCTAGAGCTGAATTCTCTTTCCTATTCCATTCTTGACGTCCCACTCTGTAACAAGCCCTGTGATATCTCTGACTATACTGCTAACTCTCCCCCAACCTGCAAATTTCAGAACCTTCACTCTTCCCAGAGCCCTCCCCTGCCACCCAGAGTCAGTCTCAAAATCTACTCTGAGCTGTCACCTACAATGAAAGGAGCTCATCAACATTATCTTGGGCCACATAACAGCAACCAGAAGGCTACTCTCCAGCATTATTCTCATTCCCCTTCTGCCTCGCAGTTGCTGTCCTTGTTTTCGGACTCCTGTGCTCACACTCAAAAGGAGTCCCAGGTAAGAACAGAGCACTGTGGATGGGACGGGGGTTCCCAAAGGTCCCAGACTGCTCTTGGAGCCCATTCTGCTCTGGCTCCTCTAGATACTGGACAATGGATATGCCAGCCAGCACCCAAGTGTGGGGATGAGATCTACAACCCCTTGGAGCAGTGCTGTGATGACGGGACCGTCCTGCCCTTGAATGGGACCCGCCTGTGCGGCCCCAACTGTACTTTCTGGCCCTGCTTCCAGCACTGCTGCCTGGAAACCTTGGGCTCTCGGAGACAGGCTGTTGTGAGGTTTAAGGTCCCAGGCACGAAGTCCAACTGCACCTCTGCCCCCCTCACCAGGATCTGTGCTCAGGTAAGAGTCAGGTTCTGACTGGGGAATGGGCACAGGGGGTGTAGTTTTGTTGTGTGTGTTTGTTCACCCAGATGTGCAGTCTCTGCTAAATTCTCCATCACACCAACTCTGTGTGAGCCTGTGATCTGTTTCTCTCCCTCCCTCCCTCCCTCTCTCTCTCCCTCTCTCTCTCTCTCTCTCTCTCTCTCTCTCTCTCTCTCTCTCTCTCTCTCTCTCTCTCCCCTCATCTCTCTATCTCTATTTCTCTAAAGAAATATCTGCCCAGCAAGTCATCTGCCAGAGCTGGATTTATCTGGGCCATCCTGAGGAACACAGACACAGGACACTCAAGACTGTGATATTTATGAAGATTTATCAACATGATCACTTGGTAAGTTATATAATGTCTCATCTCTGGAATGTACACCTGAAACTAATATGATGTACCTGGACTATAGTGAAAAATAAAAAATTGAGCCCTCCCTGGTATGGCTCCATTGGTTGGAGTGTCGCTCCACAACTGAAAAGCTGTGGGTTTGATTCCTGGTGAGGGCACGTGCCTAGGGTGCAGGTTCGGCCCAACCGTCGTTGTGTCTCTCTTTCCTTTCCTCTCTCTGTTCCTCTCTCTCTAAAAGCAGTGGGAAAAAATGTCTTCGGGTAAAGATACAAAAAATAAAAAGGAAAAAATGGTTTAAATAAAGAAAAATTATATTAAAAATTACTGTGATATTTGCTGTGATATCAGCAGTCTTATAACAAAAAATTTTTAACCATAAACATAACTCCTTTTTTCCACTTTGAAGACCATCATACTAGTCCAAGCTTCCACAAAATCTGTAGTTAATCCCTATCTCCCCATACTTTTTTTACATTTGATAACCGTCTTTACATATCCTTCAAAACTTGTATTCAGCTTGCTAGATAAATAGTGGTATACTTATTACTTGAGTTAGACAGTCCATCTTTAACCAGAGAAGGCAATAGTAGATTTAATTCTATTTCTTTTTTCTCAAGATTCCAAATAATTTTTGTACATATGTATGTATCCCAGTCTTTTTTTTTTTAATTTTGGGGGACATTGGTTAATAAAATTGTAGATGATTTTTTCTTATGTGTGGAATGTAACAAACAAAATAAACTAGCAAACAAAATAGGAACAGACCCATAGATACAGACTGACAGCTGTCAGAGGGGAGGGAGATTGGAGGGCTGTGGGGAAAAGGTGAAGGGATTGAGAAAAAAACTCATAGACACAGACAACAGTATGGTGATTACCAGGGAAAAGGGCGTGAGGGAGATAGAATAGGGAAAAGGAGGGATAAATGGTGATGGAAGGAGACTTGACCTGGAGTGATGAACACAGTACAATATACAGATGATGTTTCCCAGTCTTAATAGGGAGAGTACACATTAATTAACGTGCTTTCACAGATAAGAACATAAAGACTGAGTGGGGGAAATAGTTTCAATGTTTTTTTTTAATTTGAGCTCTAACTTGTTCTGTAATAAATTTAAAGGCTTATCTATCACACTTTGCCTTTATGCAAGAGTGCATCCTAGAAAAGATTTTTGGAGATAATTTTTAGTTCATTGTATTATGACTTTCATGTGAGTTAATTGGTGATAAAAATATGCATCCATATATTTGTATATAAGAGCTCAAACACATATATACAACCTATCAGCAAGGCCAACTGAACAGCCTTTTTCTCAATAAATATCACTTCTTAACCTTTAAAATTTCTATAAACTGAAAACAGAAAGCCCACAACTGCTGAAATTTTACTGACTTATTTCTAGGGCTTTATTTTTAAGCTAAAAAGTTTTGGATAGTTGTCTTTCTCTGTGTGACTTATTTCACTTAGCATAATATCCCCTAGGTCTAGCCAGGAGATGCAATGGAAAAAGCCAGCAACTCAGAAACACCAATGAGAGAAGACCAACAGAGCCCACACCCCACCCAAGTCTGCTCTCTAACTAAAGAACCAGGAAAGGGGCAGCCTAGAAATACATGCACTCTTAGACAATAACTTCTCTACTCCAGGCAAATATCACCCAGAACTCTGGCCCCACTCCGCTCCGCCAGCAAAAACCAGGTGAAGAACCCAGACTTCCACCCTCACCTGCCTATAAGGAAAAGCCATGGCTCTCCCTTGGGGATGCTGTTGGCGAGGACCAAGGGGAAGGACCCACCTCCACCACTGTGGTGTCCAGTTTTTCTAATGTAAACAGAAAATAGTTTTATTAAATTACATCTTGATGGGTTATAAGACTTTTCTAGCTTGTTCATCTGTGAAGTTATCATATCATTAAAATGTATACATCAACAACTATTTTCAGTTACTAAAAATGCCAAATCAGAAATAATTGTGATAACATTTAATTTTTAGAATTCACTTTCTCATGATGCAAGCATTCTGAGGCCCTTAAGAAGAGTTTATAATCTCTGACATTATGGTAAACTTCTGACAAATTAGTTCTAATGCGAATTTTAGTAATTCTAGAGCCAGTGATTCTCTCAGGACAATTTTTCAAAACAGGATTTAACTTTACAGATCAGTGTTGTGTGAGCATGGATTTATTTAAATGTGAATATACACAATGGTATTTTAATGTTTCATCTCACATTTCCTGTAATGTGGAGTTGTCTGAGAAAACAAATGTGGCTTCCTAATTATTTTTAAAGATTTTATTTATTTATTTTTAGAGATAGGGGAAGGGAATGAGAAATAGAGGGAAAGAAATATCAATGTGTGGTTGCCTCTCACATGGCCCCCACCAGGGACCTGGCCTGCAACCCAGGCATGTGCTCTGACTGGGAATTGAACCGGCAACCCTTTGGTTCGCAGCCTACGCTCAGTCCACTGAGCTACACCAGCCAGGGCTGGCTTCCTAATTTTCGTATAATTCAAAACCTTACATATTTCATCACTTTATCTTTGACTACAAGGACAAATTAATTTTAAAATTACCTTCCTTGTTAGTAATTGATTTGTCATCCATATGTGTATATACTTATGGAATCTACCATGACAATCAAGATATAGAACATTTGCATCACCCAGAAAAGTGCCTTTTTGCCTCATCGTAGGCAATCCTTCCTTCCAACCCAAGACCTCAGGCAAACACACACTGTGTGTCACTACAGATTAGAATTAGATTAGGTCTGTCTTTACTAGTTTCATAGAAAGGAAACCAAACCACTTTGTATAGTTTTGCATCTACCTACCTTCAATATATTTTCACCATCATCCATCTTTTGCTTGCCTTAGTAGTTCATTTCTTTTATTCTAGCTTTATTTGTAGCTCATTCTTTTCATTGTATGGATACATCACAATTTGTTGATTGATCTGTTGATGAACATTTACATATTTCAAGTTTGGGGCTTTATTTTCAAAGAACATGTATGTGCAAGTTTTGTATGGACTTAAGTTTTTGTTTCTCTTAAATACCTTTCAGTGGAACTGTTGGGACATATGGTTAAAATTTTTAATTTATAACATACTTTAAAATTGTTTTACAAAATGATTGTACAATTTCATACTCCCACCAGTGATATATGAGAGTTTCACCACATCCTTGGCAACACTTGCTATTGTCAGTCTTTTTTTTTTTAAGATTTTATGTAGTTGTTTTTAGAGAGAGGAAGGGAAGGAGAAAGAGAGGGAGAGAAACATCAATGTGTGGTTGCCTGTTGCACGCCCCCCCCCCCACCAGGGACCTGGTCCAGAACCCAGACATGTGCCCTGACTAGGAATCAAACCAGAAACCCTTTGGTTCACAGGCCAGAGCTCAGTCCACTTAGCCACACCAGCCAGGAATACTGTCAGTCTTTTTTATTGTACCCATTCTAAGGGGGTTGCAGTGGTATCTTATTGTAGTTTTCATTTGCATTTCTCTGATGACTAATATTAGGCATATTTTATTTTTTTAATGATTTCTCTTTTTTAATATTTTACTTATTTATTTTTAGAGAGACAGGGAAGGAAAAAGAGAGGGAGAGAAACATGTGTGTGGATTGCCTCTCATGCGCCCCCTACTGGGGACCTGGCCCACAACTCAGGCTTGTACCCTGATTGGGACTCAAACCAGCAACCCTTTGGTTTACAGGCTGGCACTCAATCCACTGAGCCATACCTACCAGGGCTTAGGCATATTTTCATATGTTTATTGGTTATATATGTATCTTCTTTTGTAAAGAATTATTCAATTTTATTGCCCTTTTTAAATTTTTATTTTATTGTTTATTCTATTGCAGTTGCTCTCCTCCACCCACCCCATCTTCCACTCCTACAGTTCCTCCCTGCCCCGTTGTCCATGTCCATGGGTCACTCATACATGCTTATGCACTGCCATATTTACAGCAGTGCTATTTACAATAGCCAGGTGTTAGAAACAGCCAAGTGCCCATCAGTAGATGAATGAATTAAAAAATGATGGTACATTTACACAATGGAATACTAGCAGCAGAAAGAAAGAAGAAGGAACTCCTACCCTTTGGGACAGCATGGAAGGAACTGGAGACAATTATGCTAAGTGAAGTTTTATTGCCCTTTTAAAAATATTACTATATTAAAAGTTATCATATTCAAGATACAATTCCTTTATCAGTTATATGTACTGTTAATACTTTTCTCAGGACGTGACTTGTGTTAGGGTGGTCAGTGATGCAGTCTGTGAAAGAATTCACAAAGAGAAGAAAGTATAAAGTTTTTATTCACTCACCAAGAAAGGTGAGGAACATGGTGTGGAGAGATGCACCAGCACTGAGGGGTGGGGCTTTGAGCTTTCATTGGACTGCAATTGGATAAAAAGGGTGGGGGTGATGTTGTATGTATCCCTTGGGCTGTTGGAGTTGCAACAGGAGGCTGCAGTTTGTCCCAATATTATCTTCTGCCTGTGGCTATAGGAAGTGGTTAGTCATGTTCTGTTCTTGCTTTCCAGTAAACTCCAGCCCTAGGGACATAAGCTCAGAGAGTCTGGTTTAACAAGGTCACAGGCCTGCTCAGCAAATGGTGCCATGTGAGCAAATGGCACTGACCTCCTCCTTTCAACTTGCATTTTCATTTTATCTATTGAAGAACAGAAGCCTTTATTTTGACAGAATCTAATTTATCACTTTTTCATTTTAGTGCATTCTTTTCTGTGTTGTCTAAGAAATCTTTACATGCCCCAAGTTCATACATTTTCTCTTCAGTATTTCTATTTTTTATTTTGTTTTGTTTTAGTATCATTTTTTTAGACCTGTGATCCACTTCAAGTGAAATTTTGGTATGGCATGAGACTTAAAAGTTGAGATTTACACCCTGGCTGGTGTGGGTTAGTGGATTGAGTGTCAGCCTGCAAACCAAAGGGTCGCAGGTTCAATTCCCAGTCGGGGCACATGTCTGGGTTGCAGGACAGATTCTTTGGTGGGGGAAGAGGGGCATGTGAGAGGCAGCCACACATTGATGTTTCTCTCCTTCCCTTCCCCTCTCTCTAAAAATTAATAAATAAAATCCTTAAAAAACAATATTTTAAGTTCACATTTACTTTTATTTTAATGGGTATGGCAACTCCCCCGCATCCTTTACTGAGGCCTACCTTTTCTCTATCAAATGACCTTGACAACTCTATCAACACTGACCATAATTTGCCCTGGCTGGTGTGGCTCAGTGGATTGAGTGCCAGCCTGTGAATCAAAGAATCACCAGTTTGATTCCCAGTCAGGGCACACGCCTGGGTTGCAGGCCACATCCCCCATATGGGGCGCATGAGAGGCAACCACACATGGATGTTTCTCTCCCTCTCTCTCTCCCTTTGCCTCTGTAAAAAATAAGAAAAAATTTTTTAAACTGACCATAATTTAGAAAACTCAAGAAGAGAAAGTTTTTTTAATTTACCCATATGTTTGACTTCCAGTCAGGATGGCAGCATAGGTAAACACAGCTCACCTCTTCGCACAACCACATCAAAATTACAACTAAATTATACAACCATCACTCACAACTGGCAGAAATTGAGTTGAATGGAAGTCTGACAACTACAGAACTAAAGAAACCACATCCATCCAGACTGGTAAGAGAGGCAGAGATGCAGAACAGGCTGGTCCCACATACACATGTGGTAGATAAACATTCAGGAGGATGTCTCAGGAACAAGGAGTCCCAGCCCCAGACCAGGCCCCCCAGCCCAGAGTACCAGTGCCAGGAAGATAAGTCCCTATAACTCCTGTCTGCCAAAACCAGCAGGGGTTGAGTAAGTGGAAGAAACTTCAGGAGTGCCAAGCAGCTCTTCTTAAAGAATGCACACATGGACTTAGACTCACTCCCTCTGAGCTTCAGCACTGGGGTAGCAGCGTCAAAGGCACCAGTGGCACACAGGGAGGAACTGAAGTGGCTGGCATCCAGGCGAGAGCTAGGGGACACTTTCTCCCAGACAGAAAGGCAGGCAGAGACACAGAGCTGGCAGGCATGTGTCACACGTATCTGAGACTCCATCAACCTGGTTAACACTGTTTGCCCCACCCTGGAGATGCCCTAAGGCTCTGAACCACCCAACTAACAGCTGTTAACAGTAGCTTTTCCATGTGCATGGCTGGTCTTGACTCAAGCTTCTCAACTTCCTAAATCATTTCAGAGAAGCAACTAATGCCCTCAGTGAGTCCCTAGCCCCAGTACCTTTTGCTAAGAGCCCCAGGCACAGCACCAGCAGCAGCTAGCCTAAATCCACAGCTTGGCTTTGCCTGGGAGTCTCCAAGCCTAGCACAAATAGCAGCCATCTCAGTTTGCTCTATAGCTCAGGCAGGGTGGCCCTGGGTAAAACACAGGTGCGGACTGACCTTGGCCTGCACCACCCAGGAAACCCCAGGGTCTGTGCACCCAGTGGACAGCTACAAACCATGTTGGAGCACCACCACCCCATCCCTGTCCCTGCACAGTTGATCCTCCACAGAGGGCAGACATTGGTGATCAGTGGTCACAGCCAGTCCTTGCAACTGAGTGGCCTAGGTAAATCCCTCCCATTGACCTGCCAACCGCAACCAATGCACAACTACAAAAGTAAGGTGTACTCAGCCTACATGAAGGGCACACCTTGAGTACCCAGCTTGTGTGATAGAGCAGGCTGTGCCACTGGACCCTACAGGACACCTGCTACATTAGGCCACACTACCAAGACGTGGAGTAAAGAAGTTCTACCTAATACATAGAAATAAACACAGGGAGGCTGCCAAAATGATGAGACAAAAAAATATGGCCCAAATAAAAGAACAGATTAAAACTCTAGAAAAAGAGCTAAACAAAATGGAGATAGGACTCTTTCAGATGCAGAATTCTAA